TTCATCTTCCATCCCACATAGTCTGCATCTTCTTTTCCCCTCCTCTTCCCAGTATCTCGCCCCCCTCATTTCATTGTTCATTCTATACCTCACTATCCTTCTCCATCTGCTTTCCCCCCATCCCTTTCTCAAGTATTCCGGTAAACCCTCCTCCTTCCATTCTCCATACCATCTATTGTATCTCGACTCTCTTATCTTCTCCCATCTTTCCTCCTTTTGCCTTTCTCTGTCCTTCTGCTCCCATCCCTCATATACTTCCTCCCCCCTTTCTCTTTTTTCCTCCATCTCCCTCTCTTCTATCCCCCTTCCTTCAAAAAATTTTGCCCTCTCTTCCTCCCACACCGTTTTCTCCTTTCCTTCCTTTACCCTCTCCTTCATCTCCTCATAGCATTTCCTCGCTAAACTTCCTCCCATTCCCTCCTCTAATTTTCTCTCATACCCTATCGCTCTTCTTCCTGCTCTTATCCTGAATTTATCCTTTCCTATCTCTTCTCTTACCATATACCCCGGCGTACACCAATCTACTCCTAACGTCCACCTAATCCATCTTTCCTGCATTGCCTCTACTTCTCTCCTCTCCTTCCACCCCCATATTTCCGCCCCATACTCCATCACCGTTCCCACCAACCTTTCCATTAACCATACTCTTTTCATCCAGTCTCCTGCAAATCTTCTCTTTCCCATACCCCATACTTGTCTCATCACCGCTCCTGCTTTCCTCACTCTGTCCCTCACCTGCGCCTCCTGTCCTCCATTCCTTTGTAACTTATATCCTAGATACTTGAACTCTTTCACTTCCTCTAATTTTTTCCCTTTCCATCTCCACTCCATTTTCCTCATTCTTCCTCCCCCCTTTCTAAACCTCATTATTTTTGTCTTATCCACATTTACCTCTAGCCTTTTTTTATCCATGTAATTTTCCATTTTCCCCAACATATGTATCATCCCCTCCTCCTCCTCCGCCAACAACACCATGTCATCCGCATATGCCAAGCAGTGCACTTTTTCCCCTCCCAACTTTACTCCTCCCCAGCCTCCTTTTTTCAGCACTTCCTCTATATCCGCTATCAACAAATTGAACAAGTGTGGGCTCATTGGACAACCTTGCCTCACACCCCTTGCCGTCCAGAAGTTTTCTCCTTCCTCCTTCCCCGCTCTTACTTTACTCCTCGTTTCCTTGTATACCTCTTCTATCCTACTACTTAACCCTTCTCTTACCCCCCTCTTCCTCATCGCCTCCATTAACACCTCCCTATCCACTGAGTCAAACGCCGCCTTCAGATCTATGAAGGCCGCTACTACCTTACCTCCCTTCTTCTTCACTTTTTTATTGATCAGGTAGTTTAGCACATATATACTGTCAATCACCCCCATTCCCTTCCTAAAGCCTGTTTGACTCTCCGGCAACATATTCCCCCTCTCTATTTCCTCCTTTAACCTTTCTGTTAGAATCCCCACATACACCTTATATAACGTTGGCATCAAAGTCACCCCTCTGTAGTTTTCCACCCTATTCCCCGTTCCCTTTTTTAACAGTGGTACTATTATCCCCTCTTTCCACCTCTCCGGCCATCCTTCCCCTCTCCAGACTCTGTTGCACATTTCCCATACCCACTCTTCTACCCTCTCTCCTCCATATTTCCATACCTCACTCGGTATCCCATCCTCCCCCGCTGCTTTTCCTTTCTTCAATTTTCCCAATATCCTCTTTACTTCCCCCCTGCTTATCTCCTGCTCCTCATCCCTCTCCCTTTTCTCTTTTCCTCCTCTTACAACTTTAACCTCTACCCCTCCCAATAGGTCCATGAAATATTCCTTCCACTCCTCCGCTTTTATCTCCTCATTCACTCCTTCTCTCTTCTTCCTTTCCCTGTTTATAATTTTCCATACCTCTCCTTCCGTTCTTGCCTCTATCGCTTCCTTGTACCATCTTATCCTCTCCTCCTCCCTTTTTCCTGTACACATTAGCTTATATTCTGCCCTTTCTTTTCTGTATCCTTCTCCTCCTCCTCCTTTCTTCCTCCATTCCCTTAGCTTTCTCCTCACTTCTTTCCTCTTCTCCTCACATTCCTCATCCCACCACCCTTTCTTTTTTCCTTCTCCACTCTCTTTTTCTCCTTCTCTCAATTCCTCTTCTATCCTTCCTATTTTTTTCCTCTAGCTCCTCTTCTATTCCCTCTTTCCACCCCTCTCCCCATTCTATTTCCTCTCTTATTCTTTCTCCTCCCCTCTTCGTCCATCTCCCCTTTTTTCTTATTCCTTTTCCTTCCTTCCTTTTCCCCTTTTCAGCACCTCCTCTTCTTTCTAACGTTACAATCAAAGGGTGATGGTCCGACTCTATGTTATCTCCCACCTCCATTCTCTTTATCTTTTCCTTTACTCTATCCTCTCCCACCACATAGTCTATCACCGATTCCCCTCTTCCTCCTGTATATGTGTACTCCCCCTCCCTATCCCCTCTAATCCCTCCGTTAAAAATTCCCCATCCCACTTCTTCTAGCTCTTTTATCAACTTCCTCCCATCCTCATTTACCTTCTTGTCCTTCGATCTTCTTTCCTCTTCCTCCTCTCCTCCTATCACTCCCCCCCTTCTACCTGTCCTTGCGTTGAAATCTCCTCCTAAAATCGTCCATTTGTCTTCTTCTTTCTCTTCCATCCATTCCTTCATTTCCTCCATTTTCCTTTCCATGTCCCCGTTAATGTATATACCTATTACCCTCCACTTCTCTCTTCCTACCTCTAAATCCGCCATCATTATTCCCTCCGCCTTTTCTCCCATTCCTGATACTTTTATCCTTCCCCTCTCCTCCTTTACCCCCATGATCATTCCCCCCATCGGTCTTCCTTTCTTCTTTCTCTTCTTTGCTGCTTGCTTCTCCCATCTATATCCTTTCGGTAACCTCTTTTTAATCGCCTCCCACCCCTTTTCCTCTATCCATGTTTCCATCATCACCACTACCTCCCAATCCTCTATTTCCTTCCAGAATTTTTCTTCCTTGTTTTTCAACCCTGCCACATTCCAAAAACCTATCTTCCATTCCTCTCTTACTTCTCCTTTTTCCTTTCTCTCTTGCTCCTTTCTTCTTTCTATCTCCGTCTCCCTTTCTCCCTCCTCCTTTCTCTTCTTACTACTCTTCTTCCCTTCTCCTTTCCTTCCTTCTTCTTCTCCCCTCTTCTATCCCTTTTTTTCCTCCATTCTTGTCTTCATGCCCCCCTCTTCCACCTCCATTTTCTCCATTCCTTCTCTAATTTCTCCTTTCCAGTTCTTGAGCACTCTTTCTTCCTCTTCCCATTTCCACCAAACATCATTGATTTTTATCCTACCGTAGCTTGTCCACACCTTGTTCCCTTTCCTCTTTTCTTCCTCCGCAATTTCCATTATTCTCCATTTCATCTTTCTTTCCTCCCATGTTAGGTCGTCCTCTATCCTCACCCTCTTTCCTCTTAACAGACTCTTTTTTTCCATTACCTGTCTCTTTTGTTCTCTGCTGCCTAGTCTTACAACCACCATTTCTCCTTCCTTTCCCTCCTTTCCTTTCAACCTTCTTATCCATTCTATTTCCGTTTCCGCTCCTATTTCTTTCATTATTTTCTCCACTCTTTCTTTTATATCTTCCTTCCCTTCTTCTATTCTTCTTATCACGATGTTATTCCTTCTTTCTTCTCTCTCTTTCCACTCTAACTTCTTTCCTATGTCTCTCATTTTCCCCATTATTGACTCACCTAACCCCTTACTTCCTCCTTCTTCCCCCCTCCTCTTTCTCTTTCTTCCTTTTACTTCTCTTTTCTATTCTTGCCTCCAACTCTATCACCCTTTCCTCCAGTCTTTCTATCTTTTTTCCCATTTCTTTTCTTTCTTCTCTCCATTCCCCCTCCTTTTCCATATTTCAATCTTCAATTTTCTTATTTCCTCACCCAACTTCTCTGTAATTCTTTCCTATCTCCTCCATCATCCTCTTTAACTCCTCCTTTTCTATCCCCCCTACTTCTCTGTTCAGCCTTTCTGTTTTTTTGCTCCTTCTCAGACTTCTTTCCTCTTCATCCTTATCCTCCTCTCCCCCTTCTTCCCTTTTCCTTTTCAAGAAATCCTCTATACATCCATACTGCTCCTCCTCTCTTTCGCTAACCAGGGAGAAACTCGAAATCGGATCGACGTCTCGATTTAGACGTAATCCTCGTCTATAACTTTTTCAGTTCAAATTAGACGTCGACTAGACGTCGATATTATTTGCTAAAACAATCAGGCCAGACATCAATAAACATTTCATTTTAATCCATAATAAAATACTTTTCATGTAAAGAACATATATTAAAATTTATTATAAAATATATATGTGATCCATATATATATATAAATTTTTTTTTATAAGTTTGTGTTATAATTTATCTTTGTGTGTGTAATAATTTTAATCTAAAAAATTAAACGTAATTAGTGTGTAAACATATGAAAATATAACTTTAATTATTAAAAATAAATCACTATTAAATTTATATAATTATATATGATATTTATTCCGATAATTTTGTGTGAAATATAGTACCAACTTTATTATTAATAAAATTAAAGGGAAATAAAGTATAAATAATTATAATAGATATAGTACAGTTAGTATGAAAGGGAAACTTATATGAAAATAAACTTTAATTATTTTAAATGATGCAAACGCTTAACCGCTTACGGATATAACTGTCGTAAAAGTGCGACGCCATATGCGAGCACCAAACACAATAGTGTACCACTAACGACGAGTTAACGAACTCATTCTGTTATTGTTCGTAATCGATGATCATCGTTGAAGTTCGTTGAATGTTGAAACTGTGCTTGTGATAATATTGTTCTTCTGGAGGCCTATTCTGTAACTTTTACAAATGCGTTATAAACTGTAACGCATGCGTTAGTCGTCATATCGTCGACGAATTCATGGTTAACAAATGAATTATAGTTATAACGCATGCGTTAAAAGTTACAGAATAAGTCTGCTGGCTCGATTGCTATTCTAATAAAGAAGTCATCACAACAAAAATGAGTGAAAGTCCACCGGTAAAAATGCTTCAATTTATATATTTCTATAATTAATTCTTTACTTTTTTTGTGCCTCAAGTCGTCTGTAGGTTATAATTGTTTCATAAAAATTACAATTTTCATATAAATAGTCATAATTTATATATATATTAATAAATTATTTTGATTTATTTAATTAAAAATATTGTATGCTCTTATATATACACTTTTCTTTAACTCACTCTTTAACTAACCTCAACATATACGGAATTATTAATAATAATATTGTCACTATTGCTTCTTTTTTGCTATTATTTATTTAAAGTTTATTATCAAAAAAATTACATAACATTATTGTGAATGCAGTATAAGCAATATATTTTAGTACTGATGTTGTCTTGTATTATTTTTATACTTATATCAAAGTGGAAAGTAGGAATCGCGTAGAAATACGAACAAGCAAATAATTAATGAATTAGTTAGGCAATGTAGGAATCAAAGAAAATTGGACGATTTAAGAAATCGAATTACTACTGTCTACAAGACAGAGGCTTCATCCGATGAAGAGGTTTCATCCGATGAAGAGGTTTCATCCAATGAAAAGGTTTCATCCGATGAAGAGAATAATGAAATGCTGCCCATTCCAGGGATTGAAGATATTTCTTTATTAGAAACAAATTCTGAAGTATCAACAGAATCTGATGCATCTATCGATCAACTTGAAAATGAAAATATGGATGATAACAATAATTATAATAATGACAATGACAGTGAATTACATTTTGAAGATGAGAATAATGACAGCGAAGGAAGTGTTGAAATTAATGATGCTAACAGATATAGTAACGATGAAGAAAATGATGATTTAATGATTGAATTTGAAAATGACGAACAGAGAGGACGCTATGTTTTAAAAACATTGAGGGAGTGGGCCCTTGAAGGAGGTGTGTTATCTATGAAGAAGTTAAATGATTTACTTCGTAGATTGAGAGTATTGTTTCCCATCTTACCTAAAAGCTACAAAACCTTACTCCAAACTTCTCGAGATTTAGATATTGATCGATTACCTGATGGATCTCAAATGTGGTACAAGAGTATAAGAACAAACCTTGACAACATGCTTCTTGATGAATATTTAAATATTTACAATTCTGTTATTATTGATATCAATATGGATGGCCTTCCATTGTCTAAAAGTTCTAAATTAAAAGTTTGGCCAATTTTAGGTTATTTAGTAAATACAGAAAATGAGCCTTTTATTATTGGTTTGTACTTTGGTGATCATGATCCTGTTGACATACATTTTTATCTGCACAAATTCGTAAATGAGCTCGAAGATTTATTGGAAAATGGATATATTCGGGATAATTGTACATATCCATTCATAATAAGAAATTATGTTCTTGATGCACCAGCTCGCTCATTGGTGAAACGCTGTGTTAGTCATGGAGGTTATGGAGCTTGTGAAAAATGCACATGTGTTGGTGAATATGTTGCGGATCGTATAGTTTATACAAATCTGAATGCTCCATTGCGAACTGATCATTCATTTATTATTCAAGAAGATCCACTTCATCATATATGCCGTTCTATTCTAAAGAGAGTAGATACAGGAATGGTGTCTCAATTTAGATTGGATTCATTTCATTTAGTTTGGCATGGAGTTTTCAAACGATTATGGATGGTATGGATGCAATGAATGGGCCATGGAAACTTAACAAGTTCTCCAGAAAAAATATTTCTAACAATCTAAATTTTTTGAGGGATTTCTGTCCAAGTGATTTTTGCAGACTACCAAGATCAATTGATGACTGGAAAATGTACAAAGCTACAGAAGAGAGACGATTATGTCTTTATGATGGACTCCTAATATTTCGAAATAATTTGCAAGAAAATGTTTATAAAAACTATCTCTTACTTCAAGCTGCCCTGTATATTCTCTCTAGTCCTTTACATGTTATGTATGTATTGAATGACTTTGCTAATGAATTGCTTAGAGCATTTATTAAGCATTGTATAGAATTGTACGGGAAACGTTTTGTGGTATATAATGTTCATTCGCTTTCTCATTTAGCTCAAGAATGTGCAGAGCATGGTTCTCTGGAGAATTTTAGTTCTTTTATGTTTGAAAATCGCTTAAAATCAATCAAAAGTAGCCTAAAATCTGGATATAAACCACTGCAACAAGCTGTATTACGGGATTTAGAACGAGTCAGAGCAATAAAAATTAAATTAAAAGCTAAAGAGAAGATTATTCACCTTTCTCACAGACATGAGGATGCAGAAGAACAATTACCAGGAACACACTTTCGGTGTCTTTCTATTGATAGTATGGTATTACGGATTGATATAAAGAACTGTTGCTTCTGCACAACAGATGGAAATGTTTACATTTTAAGGAACATTGTAAAGCAAGAGAGAAGAGTGATGCTTGTTTGTAACAAGTTTCAGGATATAGGCGATTTTTATACATATCCTTTTCCATCCTCTCGATTAGGTATTGTGAGAGTTTCTCAAATAGATGACGAAAGGTTCATTGTGCCATTGCATGATGTTCATGCTAAATGTTGGTTAATGCCCTATTCCGATGATTGTTTTTTATGTGTTCCTCTTCTCCATACAATATTATTCCAATAATATTTGAGATTTTTTCTGTTAAGGTATGCAATATAAGTAGTAATCTTAGTATAGGTTTACAAATTTTTTCAAATGAAACCATTTGTCATTACGTGGAAAGTGTAATTTGTGACATGAAAAAGTGACAAGAAAAAAGTTTTTTATTTTATGCTTATTGTAATTTTATGTGTTTTGCAGTTTATGGTTGTGAAATTCTTATCTACTGATGATGAAGAAACTGATGATGAATGTTACGAGGTGGCTCTTTCAAAATGGCTTGAAGATTTAGATGAAAATAGGATTGGAAATATATTCTGGCCAGAAGATAAATCTATAGCAGGGACATTAGTTCGAACTCAAGCAAATGCGGAATCAAATTGGCCCACTTATACAGTGGAAGTTAAAAGATACTATGGTGAGCAATTTTCTCTTATATCTTCTTTTTTCTGCCTGTTTAAAAGTTATTAATAATATGGTTTGTTGCACTAGATACATATTTTCAAGCGCGAAAAGGATTAACAGGAATAATAGAGTATGCTTCAGCCTATGAGACTGATACTGGAAAAGAAATGGGAAGAGGAAAGAGGAAGAAAAAAGTAAAACCATTCACGTCTTCAGAGGAATCTGATAATGATCAGTGTGTAAAAGATCAATTGAAGAAAAAAAAGTGTAGCATTCCTTCACCACCAACAATCCATGTTCCTGGAACTTCTATCTCAACTGATAAGAATTCTGGTCATATTAAATACAAAAGACATATTATTGAAGATTCCTCAAGCATAAAAAAACTGAAAGTTGCAAAAGATTCAAGTGAATCTACAGGATCAGAAAATACTCGTGAACGATTGCTTGAAAAGATTATCAATGAAAGAAAAAAGGCTATGAAAAAAAATGAGAAAAATAATACTACATTATTTGCTGCACATTCACAAGTTTTACAACCATCATCAGGAAAGCAATCTACATCTAACACCTTTCTTTGTCAACGTAACATGAAGACTTCCTCTACATCAAAAATTGTGAAATCTCCAGAGAAGACTGCAGTCAATAAGCTCAGAGAATTGTTTGATAACACTAAGACAAAAACCAAAGAAAAGGTTAAAAAATCTAAACCCTCTACAGCTTCTGAAGTTTCCTTAAAAATTACACCAGGTCCTTCTAACAACTATTCTGAAAGATCTAATATGAGTCCTTCGACAGAGTCCGATATTTCAAGGAAATCAGATGATCCGCTTAGAAACCCACAGAAATCTCCTTCTTTGTTGAATTTGGAATTAAAAGAGAACATAATCCGATAAATCTTTGTCTCAATCACCATCAGTAAATGATGATACTTCACAAGATACTACACTACTCGCACAAGAAGAAAAGAGCAGCCCACTTTCTTCCAAAGAAAAATTAGAGCGACCTGTTCGTAATTTGACAAATGTTCTTAGTGCAGGTATATTAGATTGTTTGCTCATACACATGTGTATATGTATGTGAATGTATATATATATCCCAGACAGCACAAAATGGTCGAAGAATGTTCAAAGAACATTTTGTGTTGTCTGGGTATATATATATATATATGTAATGTGTATATGTATATTTTAATAATTTGTCATTTATGTTTACATATATATTTCAGATTTTGATCAACATTTTATAACATTGAAAAAGAACTTAGACGACATGAGCAGCAAGCTTGACGTCATTATTATGAACCAAGCGAACTTAAATAAATGTTTGATTCCGGAACAGGCTATCATTACTAGACCTTCAAATCTACCTCCTTTACCTTTAAATGATATGAAAATCTCGAAGAATTTGACAAATTTTTATCTAAAGATGTAAATCTGTCGGCAGCGGTAAGTAATATTTTATATGCTTATATAACCTAATATATTTTTATTACAATTTTTATTATAGTTATTATAATAATTCTTTAACATTATTTGTGCTATGCTTCTTATATTTTTAAATATATCATACAAGTATATTTTTATTTATTAACATGAGTGATAAATAAATAAATGTGTGTGTGTGTGTGTGTAACGTTGACAAAGAGAGGTGCTAATGATTTTTCCCGGTGTTTATATTTTTTACAGTGTTACTATTTGAAGAGTTTGCCGTTAGGTGATAATGAAAAAATTGTAGCATCAAGACTTATGACCAAATTGATGACTAATTCCTTAGCGAAACAATTCAACTTTGATGGTCATAATCCTCAAAAGGCTAAAGTTAATAAAAGGCCATTTAAGAAACTGAAACTATGGGAATTATTTCAAGGTATTTTATCTTCTTTTCAATATTTTGTTTCATCTTAAGTTTATTGTAGAAAAAATTCATAAATATTTCTTTTTTTTCTAGGAGTTATGCTATTAAAATTCCTACCAGTGATTTGGAAGATGCCTTAAATGCAGTCAGAAATTGGCTACGAAACGCTGCTGGGCGTAAGCAATGAAATGTGCAATTTCATTTTTTTATTTTTAACAGAATCTAATGTATAAGAAAAGCAGAGGTAAAAAGTGCTCGCATACGAGAATATTGCGTTGTGATATCTTATTATTCTTAGACGACTCTTTACAAGGTCTTTTTCTCGATACAAATTAGCACGGGGGAGGTTTCCCATTAAAAGGGAAGAGGTCATTTAATATTCGTCATAAAATGCAATTAATTATTTTTTTTTCTTGAATGTGAAATATGATCTCTATTCATGTGCAATTTGCGAAGTCTTATGTCATTTTTATTTTGTTATTGTATTTTTGATATTGCTGCTTTATTTTGAATATTATTTGTCTTATTTTTATTTATGTAACTGATAAGACATTGTCAGGTTTAAATTTGATTTGAATTATTACATATAAAAGTTTTTAGTTGAAGTATGTATATGTAGAATATATATGTACACTAATAAAGAATGTATATATATATATACATATATAAAATATATATATTTATAATATATATATATCAAGACACGATAAGATGGCATATACTGGAGTTTTCAGTATGTCAACAAAGATTATCCTGTATTGAAATTGTCCAATACATATTAATAAAAAATAGATATAAGGTTAATAATACATATAAAATTATTTTCTAAAGTGTCTTTTCCATCCTTTCAGTTTCAATTATATAAATATATGTATAACAATCTAAATACCAAGATCCAAATAATTTTAGTGTTGGTTCTATTTTTTTCATTCGTAAATTAAAAAGGTAATGTAAATTTTCTAAAGAAAATATATTTGCATGCATCCAATATTACAATTCAATGAATGTTTACTGAGCAATTTGTTTTGATTAGAATATTACATTATTCTATATTTTACAATAAAAATATACTTAGAATTAAAATAAAATGTTCACTGAATGGTGTACGTAATACTGCACTTATTGCCTGCGTTCGCAGCAGAGAAAGTAGAAGTGTCTGTTGTAAAATTATTGAATTTGAGTATTGTATGAGCTTAGGTTTAGTCAAAACTAAAAGCATACGCCATTATTAGATTCATCAATTTTACAACATTTGCAACGCTACTTTTTCTGCTGAATACAGCCGTTACATCAATTATTTAGATGTCTATTAGACATTTTATAGACGTTTATATTAACGTCTAGATGGTGTCGAATTCAAAGATTTGTCGTCTATATAGACGTCAAATTAGATCTTACTAGACGCATATAAAAGACATCGATCGACGTCTATTCAACATGCCAATTCTACTGGGAATCATTACTCTTCTCGGCCTCCCTGCCTTCTTTTTACTTCCTCCTCATCTCCCTTCGTTCCCCCTTCCTCAACCATCCTAGTCTCTAGTAGTAGCTTCCTCCTATCCTACGATTATTACAATATGTCTTTTTCCTTATCATTTTTCTCTTATCGCCGTTCTGTCTTTGATTCACTTACTCTATGTTCTAATTAGCTCCAACTCGCTAGTGAATTCCCTAGTGAATTCCCACTATTGAATTCCCTATCTTTCTATCTGCACCTGTCTCTTACCACTACTCTCTTTTTCCACGTGGTTACGGGCGGAATCATAGATGTTTCTTGAGTTTCAAGACAACCTAAGCTAGTGCTTAAGATCGTGATAGTTTCATGAACATTTCTAAAGACCGATTTTCAAACTGAAACTTGGGATCATGCTTTTAATGAATGCAAATTCTGTTTCATAGTCAAATCTTAAGTACGACTTAAAATTATTAGATGCACAATCATGACTCAAACCATATCTTGAGCAGGTTCTTAAGGAAGTCCAGGAAATTGTTAGATTAAGACGGTTG